CACTTGATCCATCATGGAAACCAATTGGGAAGTTGATTCAATACAGCCGATGTTGAGCATACCCATATTGGGCAAACATACTGATTTTTAAATGTGTTTTGGGTCAAATTGGTTCCTAATTCTACCAACTGAGCAGAGTTCAATCATTTAAGTCTGTGGTGCTGCTACTGGCAAGTATCGTACCTCCCAGACTCTCTGGCCTGGAGCTTCAGTTGCTCCCAGATCCATGGCAGGCATCCTACCTGTCATAAGACTAGGTTACTGTAGCCCATCAGCGCAAGTGTCCGTTGTGTTCAATCCCCCCTGGTACTGACACTTTTTTGTCATGGTGAACCACTACATCAAATACGTTTTGAGGACTACCGCTTTACTCCCACAGCTGAGCTGTGCCTTTCTTTCCCATTTCCAATAATTTCTGTTTTTTCATGTGCCTTAAATGTATGGCAGACATCACCAAACTTTTGTGTAGCCAAGAGGCTTTCTCAGCTTGTCGCATGACGTAAGTGTGGCCCTGCCCTCTGTGGGGTGGAAACAGAGCAGACAGCCCTGCACCTCATCTTCATATACATTTTCTGAGGGTCCCTGGACTTGTGACCAGAACACCCATTTCCAGTCGTGAGTGAGGGAGGAAGGGCGGGGGGGTAATTAGCACATACATCCTTTGTGAGGGTATCTGGAGGATCCACACACTGAGGTGGGCTGAGGGGTCGCCATGGCTTGAAACGGTTTTGACTTTGCTCAAAAGAGTCAGACCCACAGTAGTAGAGCTATAACAAACTGGTTAGCAAAAGGTGCTTGGTTCAGAGCTATGAAATACTCCAAAATACCCCAATTTGCATGTATCCATATTGCTGTAGGTATGTTTATTTCAGTGTCAGTATTTTTTGGTCCCTTGCATTTCAAATTAACAAGGAGGGCAGGTAACAGCTGCAGTTCATGGCTAGAGTCAGATTCACAGCAATCTCCTACACCCTTCTGCAACTTCTGCTGCCCTCTCCTCTTCCCCCCTTTGCAGCTTCTGCCCTGTCTTGTGCACCCACGCGCGCCGCCGCACCCCCCCCCCCCCCCCCCCCCCGCTC